ATATTAATATTTCTTTTATTTTTAACATATTACTATAATTTTCTTCGCTTTGAAGTTATGTGAGTTATGTGGTAACCTTTTTACAAAAGAATTTTTTTTTAAATGACATCATGATTATGTTTGTTAGTATCAAGGAAATGGTTAAGGCATAAGCTCTAATAATAATTCGATTCATTTAATTTTCATGATAGATGGCAACGCCATTAAATGAAAATTATTTCTTTAGCTACTTTAATTAAAAATATTAAATTTTTTTATATCAGTATTTTTTTATAAATACTTMCTTTTTTTATTTGCAGAAAAAAGTCGAACCATGGAAGCTTTACACCATGGTCTCCGGCCTGTTGTCTGTAGATTTAGTTATACTATTCGCCTGGCAGATTTTTGATCCGTTACAGCGTATACTTGAAACATTCCCACTCGAAGACCCTGTATTAACATCCGATGATATAAAAATTCGTCCAGAACTGGAGCATTGTGAAAGTCATCACAATTCAATGTGGTTAGGTGAGTAAAAATATTTGAGTARCATAAAACCTTTTTCATCAAAACTGACATACTCAAACTCCTTCTCATATCCATTCCGCCACCTCTTTTCAGGCCTCGTTTACGGCTTCAAGGGGCTGATACTCGTGTTTGGCCTCTTTCTGGCCTACGAAACGCGTTCCATWAAGGTGAAGCAAATCAATGATTCCCGCTATGTAGGCATGAGCATTTACAACGTGGTTGTGCTGTGCTTAATCACAGCRCCTGTGGGCATGGTCATCGCATCGCAACAGGATGCCTCATTTGCATTTGTTGCATTGGCTGTGATATTTTGTTGTTTCCTAAGTATGTTGCTGATATTTGTGCCAAAGGTGAGTGTGGAGTGTCGCACAAAGCGTTTGTGTAGAAAAATATGATATGGTACATGACGCTGGTATTGATATAACGAAAATCATATTATGCTCTCAAGTTATTATATTTGTTTATAGGAAACTCTATATTCCATTTTAACCACATTTTACTTGATTATCCCCTGAACAGGTCATTGAAGTGATACGCCATCCAAAGGACAAAGCTGAATCAAAGTACAATCCCGACTCTGGTATATCGAAAGAGGATGAGGAGCGTTATCAGAAATTGGTTACTGAAAACGAGGAACTGCAACGACTGATATCACAGGCAAGTAAAAGAACGTAAATTAGAAACTGACAGTTTCTCTCAATGAGAAACTCTCGCGAAACTCTCGTTGTTTTCGAAGAGACACTTTTTGRCACCTGTTGCCAAAAATAACTGCGTAATATTTTAAAAAAAGCTACCAACATAAATAAGTTCAAATCATGTCTTCTCTTTAAGAAATAGACAGTGCCCTAATTTAGAATACCTGATTAATGTTAGCTAATTTTCGTTACATCTCAAGACTGACCACCAACGTCATCTTAATGTTGTTCAAGTGTTCAGAACTATATATTGGTTGCAGAAAACTTCCTGGTTTTCTAGGTTTAGTATTTAGTCTTGAGATATAAAGAAAATTAGCTAACATTAATCAGGTATTCTGTGGGCCCCACTTGGCAGTGCAAACTATACTTTATTTTATGTACAATTCAAAGGTCTCTATTTTATACTTGAAAACCAAGAGCAATAATAGGGTACACGTTCAGAGTCTTCTATACACTCTGTACACGTCAAACAATATGGACTAAAGTCATGACAATATTTGTATAGATAACTTCGAAAGCACCCATGGCCACTTAGTATTTTGGTGAGGTCGAAATCCAGGTCGCCACGTTGTCTACCTATCCATGAATGTATGTACGGAATTAATATCTGGGTCCACCGTCCTTTGCATGAAGTTTGTCAACTTTGCTGAAACATTCTGATGCTTTTGAATTTCCTTTCCTTTTTTCTGCGGCGAATTCGTCTCCCATGATGTCAATCGGCGCCATACTGGCTAGTATCTCAGCAGTAGAAAGCCTATTCACTGCTTTATTTGGCATTACATATGATTTTATGTCTATATTGGATCTTCTATTTGAAAGTAGCGCCAAGGAAGCAATTACCAGGCTATCCGTGAGAAATTCGTTAAAAAAAACATCAGGCCTTAGAATAAGAGCAACAAAAGGTATATCATAAAAGTACTTTGGAGTAGTGCTGATAGTGGACAGAATAAAAAGCTTCTACTTTTAAGCAATAGGACTTAGTAACTCCTACTTAGTGACTCCTTCATCATAGGGCACTACCGCCTAGGATCCCAGCTTCATAAACTGATAAAGTGGATTCGGCGGTATGCAGAACATACACGAAAATTTATTAAACGTTGAAATATTACCCTTGTGAATGCCTAGTCTTTCTTTAGTTGAGACGGGATGTCTTTTACGGCTTCCAAAGTTTCAACTTAAAAAGCATCCGTGATTCCACTGAAGAACTTCGTAAACAGTTCTGACAGCATATAATTAGTGGATACGATAGAATTCCATGGCTGTAAGGCTTTTGTTTTCCTCTCCAATTTTCTCTCTCTCCTTCTCTCTCAGTCATTTGCACTCCCTTTCCCTCCTTGTGAGTTACAATACGTAACCAAAAAGCCCTAAAGCTAATAAGCTAAAGCTTCTTCAGGATATACTCCAAATTCTCTCTCTCTCTCTCTTTTGCTCTCCCTCTCGCTCCTTGTGGGGTACAATCAATTTATTTTTTCGAAGAACTACTCTGTGTTCTCATTAAATTTATACTTTTTCATCACTCGAAATGACTCAATATTAATTTATTACACTCAAACAAGCTCAATCACGATTGAATGTTCGACAATTAAATCTCTTTCGCACATTAAATGAGTTTAATGCTTCTTCAAAAGTTATTACATTAAATCATTGCGCCACAGTGCAGGCAAGCGCATTTAATTCAATTGTGMGAAGATGGAAAAGAATTATGAAAAACATTCGACTTCATACGTGAAACTACAAACGAGCAACATTAAGAGATCAATTTTTGGCCGCACCAACTGAGCGCCAGATGAATGCACGAGTCAATCAATAAATTCTTATCACAGCAACGATGATGCATCAATATGTACCGTTACGGTTGCGTACATATGTATATTTTTGTTGTGTGAAGAATTTTCGCTGATTACATTTGGACAACAACASTGCAGCGCAAAAGAAGGCAAAGTTRCAAAAGAGAATTATGGCAAAATCAGAGAGAAATGTGGCAACGGCTGTTCGCATACAAGTGAGTGTGCAGGCGRGGGGCGTGTGTGCAACGCATACAATCAATATTTTTAGTGCTCATCAGGGTGCGAATTGACAAATATGGATTACACCATGTCATCATGTCAGACGCACAACGGCAACTGCACACACACACACACATACAAACGGCCATTGTAAATACATACTTCCATATGAGCTTACTGCCCACAATAGCGATTGTTGCGCTATGAAGAAGAGGAAGATGAATTGCTGTGCGCGTTCGCGGCAACGCACCATTGATGCTAGCGTGGTTGGCAACGCAATTACATGCCACAATGGATAGTTGTGAGAGTGGTTCGTAGTCGGAAGCGTGGTGAGGCGCGGAWGAATGCAGCCTATGAGGAGGAGATATCACTACCAGCCGGCTACGGTGCACCGTGCAACTCGTATGTCCGGGGCAGCAGCTGGCAGTGAACTGTACTCGCATTCCGGAACTCTGGCAGCGTGGGCAAATGCCGGCTGCAGTAAAGCGCCAACAAAAAGGAAATGTGTGAGTGTGAGTTTGCGCGTGCAACGGGGTAAAGTTGTTACCAATAAAACGGCAGAAATCTCTTGTAAACTTGTAAACCGGCGTAGTTATATATTTGTGTTTATGTGAGCTCGTATGCGCTTAGGACCAACAAGACAAGATTAACTCCAATAGCTTCAGATTTTCCACATTCACACACATACATACCTATATAGGTGTGGAAGCCGATTGGTTTGCTGAAAGGGATACATAAGTGCCATATTATATTGCGGAGCTAAATATGTTGGTATACATATACACTTACACATGTAAAAAGGTATCGTGTATTACATATCCCTTCTTGCCTTTGCAATACTCTTCAGTTCGACTTATTTGCACTTCTTGACGGTTGGCTATTTCTGCTTCCTTTCTTGATATTGGACAAACAGCTAGCAGTTGAGAACTTGACGTTGTTGCTCGTTCCGGCGCTGTGTTTGTTGAAATTAGTGACACATGTCACTTTTTCTTCTTCTTTACTGACGTAGCCGAGTTAACAACAACGTTTCTTCTTTTCACTTTTTGGCACCAATTCGAGATACCAAGTGCAACCAGGTCCTTTTCCACCGGGTCTTACCAACAGAGTGGAGGTCTTCATCTTTCTTTGCGTCCACCAGCGSGTACTGAATTGAAAACCTTCAAAGCTTCTCTACCATGCGGACAACATGACCTAGCCAGCGCTGCCGCTGTCTCTTAATYCGCTGAACTATGTCAATGTCGTCGCATATATCGTACAGCTTGTCGTTCCTTCAACTACGATATTTGGCKTTASAAATGCGCAAAGGACCATAAATCTTCCACAAAGCCTTGCTCTCAAACACTCCTAAGGCCAACTCATAGGATGATATCAAAGTTTTTGTTCATGCCTCCACACCAGTTAGCAGCACGGGAATAATGAGTGATTTATAGTTTGGTTTTCGTTCGTCGAGAGAGGATTTTACTTCTCAATTGCCTACTTAGTCGGTAGTAGCACCTGTTGGAAAGAGTTATCCTACGTTGGATTCCTATGCTGACATTGTTGATGGTGTTTACGCTGGTTCCAAGATAGACGAAATTATATAAAACTTCAAAGTTATGACTGTCAACAGTAAGGCGCGAGCCAAGTCGCGAATTCGATCACTGCTTGTTTGATGCAAGGAAATATTTTGTTCTGTCCTCATTCACAACCAAACCCATACTCTTCGCTTTCTTTTCCCGAATTAATGGCGTGGTTGTTGAGGCCAATGATGTCAGTAACATCGGCGTACGCCAACAGCTGTACACTCATATAGAAGATTGTAGCTTCTCTATTTAGCACTGCAGCTCGTATTATTTTCTCCAACAAAAGGTTGAAGAAGTCTCATGAAAGAGAATCACCTTGTCTCAAACCTCACTTGGTATCGAACGACTCGGAGAGGTCATGGACTTTTTGGCCGCATAAGCTTAGTGGGGATATCAAGTTCAGACATAGCGGTATAGAGGTAGTTTCTTTTCGTGCTSTCGAAGGTGTCTATAAAATCGATGAAGAAGTGCTGTGTGTTGATCTTTCCTATCTAAAGGTTCTTTCAAAGATTTGACATTTAATGAAAATCTAGACGATAATACATTTTCCAGGCCTCGGGCTGTAATTACTGCTGCAAGACCGACCATGTASCGAATTAAGTACGATTCGWCTGGCATTTCATTCGCTTTAGTATAAGATCGTTGCWGGTCTGTGTCTAAAATGAATAACTGTGCTGCATGTAACGCAACCGCTAACTGTCGTGATCGCTCTCTAAYTTRGTTGAACAGTTTTCTTTTACWARGGTAGCTCCACAACACARGACCAAAACTGGTCTATGTGTGKYTTTTTRGYTTACCAGACTAACCTAAGTCTGCGTACTTCCGATCATGAGTTTTTGTTTTGACAACATTCACAAAAACTTATATGAAATATTTTATACCTCTACAACAAAATATTTAATAATCCCYTRAATTTATTAAKATTTCTAATTCTCTCTTTTCACYATACACCATCKGCAGAAAGAGGAGAAGATCCGCATACTCAAGCAACGGCTAGTCGATTTTGARGCCACACACAAGGGCGGCGAGCTGAACGGCAGCAACGGCACAAAYGGCATTTCCATGGGCGGCATTGCCACACATCATCAGCCTGTGGCGAGCGTCAATTCCTTAAGCGGTGGCATGAGTGCAACGCTAATGGGTGGTGGCGGCGGCGGCAATGCCGGTTCCGGCTCGGGTTCCACCAACAATTCACTCAATCTACAAGCAACGACGTCCTCCTCACAGCACAACACACCTGCCGCCACATTAGCGATAACACAAGGTAATTGCCAACACAAGTCAATCGCACATAGTGCGAGCAGTAGCTGTCAATTTGGTAAATATAACAACAACAACAACAACAATAGCATGAGTAATAAAAATCGCATGTTGCTAAACACATCAATGTCGGAAATGAGTTTCATAGCTTTCAATTGCAAAGCTATCAAGCGCGACTCACTGGTATTGCTGGCCCACGATGTGGATACGACGAACTCAACGCCGTTAAGCAAGCACGATGATGCCATAGGCTTGTGCGCCAGCGGTAATTACACACAAATGCGACGCGCAACGCGTAAGAGTCCAACAACGGCTTTGGAGTCCTGCGATAATTACCTTTGAGTGTGGGTCGTGCGGGCAGGTCTATTGATATAGCCGTGGGCGGCACAAGTGGTTGTTTGAGAATTTCGGTACGCATACTTTTGGTAGCGTAACGCATAAAAACGCGTATATATGACTAGGTGTGCGYTTTCATTGTTGTGAACTATTGTTGTTGCTGCTTTTAGCTGTGGGCCTGTACATAGGCTGCGCTTTAGCAGCACCTAGCGTGCTAATGGGGGATATTGCAGAAAATTTTTGAAAATATTTTTGAATTTCTGTGAGTTGCTTCTTTTTTTTAATAAAAAAAATGTAATTTCTTTTATTTTTTCTAGAAATACTTGCAATTTTCTGCGGAATTGGTAAATTTTTTCAAAAAAAATTTTAACATTGAAAAAGCACAAAGTCCTCGTCAATGGTATTGCAAATGTTCTTAGTCCATATTTTAATGTATTGTTGGGCCACACATAACTGTATTCGAAAATATTGAAAAAAAAAATATCAAAGTAATAGAATTTTTGTACTTTTTCAAATAATTTGCATTCTTAAATATTTCACAAATTTTGATCATAGTTCACCAGAATAGTGGTCTCAAATAATATTCAATTCAATTTTTAATTTAATATTTTCTTTAATTTCTCTAAATTAAATTCATAAATTTATTTTATTTTTTTTTTTTTAATTACAAATAATCACTTAACAATAATTTTGCAGATTGTAAAGACTACCATTAATTCTGATCAGATCACATGACATCACATCAAATATCACATTAATAAACAAAAATCATTCACTTCGCACCATTTTCACAATATTTGCAAGGACTTGTTTTCATTTTGATCATATGGTGATATCATATGTTCATTGACTTAATCTTGGACATATGATTACATTACATGACATCACATCACATCGCCGAATATGAAAACATAAATAATCTCTTTACATCATGTTCTKAACTTTAGGACTTAAATTAATTCTGATCACATGATCACATCATGTGACATCACATTAATAAACAAAAAATATTCACTCCACAACATTTTCGCAATATTGGCAAGGTTTCGATTTAAWTTTGATCATATGGTCACTTCACGTGACATCGCATCCCACATTGATTTTTAATTGGTTTTATTCACATAACCGATTATTAAAAAAGAAACTGCATATTATCTGTCTCTTATACACATCTAGATGTGTATAAGAGACAGAATAATCTCTTTACATCATGTTCTGAACTTTAGGACTTAAATTAATTCTGATCACATCATGTGACATCACATCAAGTTTCACAATAATAAAAAATATTCACTCCACAACATTTTCGCAATATTGGCAAGGTTTCGATTTAATTTTGATCATATGGTCACTTCACGTGACATCGCATCCCATATTGATTGAGTGATTTTTAATTGATTTTATTCACATAACCGATAATTTAACACGAAACTGCATTTTTTCATATCATTCTGGTCACATGATCACACCCCGCGACATCAAATCAAATATTTCGTTAATAAAAAACAAATGMACTCCACACCATATTTGCAACGTTTGCAAGAACTTCATTTAATTTTGATCACATTATCATATCACTTGACATCATATATTAATTTAAAACAAAAAAAAAAACAAATCATGTTACAACTTGCTACCGATTTGATTAATTTTACGCATATCAGCATACCACATCACTTCATAATATTTATCATACTGTGTTTTCAATATTAGCGATAATTTGACTTTGGTCATAACATTATTACGTTCACGTAACATACCACATATTTTGTTGTTGTCAAACTTCACTAAATAATAGAATTACACCATATTATCAGTATTTGCGAAAAGTTTACTTCATTTTCATATATTTATAAGATCATAGCACATGACTTCACATCGCTTATCGGAATATTTTTATCTGTGGTAAAACAAATCACATGCCCTCATATTTTCGATATTTGCTCACATATCATTTTAATCAAATATCACATCACTTGACATCGCACAGCAAATCACTTCACAACATTCTGTACCGAATTTATTTGTTTTAATCATATGGACATATCGTATAATTTCAATAAATCATAAATCACATGATTAAATTTTTAGCAGGTGAACACGCTTTGTAGAGCAACATATCACAAAATAAAATTTTGACATGTCATAAAAAATGAAATCACAGCACCTGAAAGCCTAATTTACTGTGTTAAGCCAATATTGAGATTTATTCGCGGAGCCAAATTAGCTATCAAAAATGTGTATTACACTTAACTTTCATCAGGTTTTGATATCACGTGCACTAAGTTATGTAAGTTAAAAATAATAATACTTTTTATAAAAAAAAAACTCTAAAATATTCATTTCCTATGTTCCTGATACTGGAATCATTAAATGTTTTTAAAAAGCTTAGTTTCTTTCAAAATTGTTAAGAATTATCATAGAAACAATGGCTTTAAATAGCCCAAATCTAAGAATCGTAGCTAGAAGTTTTTCTAAAAAAATCTCATTAAACATTTGTGGTGCATGTATACAATTGGATACGAGAGGTTGGAGTTCTTATGTAAGAATTTGATAATGATTTGAAGATGTTTCTACAAAAACTAACGAGMCATCATCCAGTTTATACTACTCACACAACTAAAAGCTTAACAACCGCCTTAGTAATTAAAATATCCAATACTTCGGTGATCCACTGACGACGAAAAACTAACGACAATCATACAGTAAATATCATGTACAAGTGTTTATTTTAACAGCTAACCCTGTAGGAAATTTTATAGTTATAGTTYCAACTAATTCATGGTGAAAATACCATATCATGTTAAAGAGCGTGGAATAAAGAGTTAAGATAGGTGTAAGTTCAGGATTTTTGTGGACTTGGGTCGAATAAAATGTCCCTTTTTGGAACCAGGAAACATTGACAAAGGCGTGTTTACTTTGTACTACTAATTTAACATGTATCCTAATTTGACAGCTAACCCTCTAAGAAATTTTATATTTTCAACTGTTTCATAGCACTTATATCGGAAAATTAGAAATTATATGTAGAAAAGGACGGAATAAAGAGTTCTAAAATAGTCCTRGATATAACCATGAAACATCGACAAAATCGTGTCCACTTTGACAACTAATATGACAGCTATCTCTCTGGTAAGATTTGGACTTTTAACCTATTCTTAAAATTACWTCCGCTAAATTATGGGGGATATATTACGGAGCATTGAATTTGGAATTGACATATGAGTTGGAAATTGTTTTTTAGGTTTTTAAGAAAATAAAATGTTACAACATAAAATTATGACACTTTAATAAGGAGGTGTTTTACTTTGACAACTGATTTGACAGCTATCTCTCTAAAAAATATTTTACTTCCAACCGGCGCGTGGCATTTCTGTCGAATTTCTGTCGCATTTAGTATTGAAATATATATTTGTGCGAATGTTTTATGGAGAACTTGAGGTAAATAAAATGTGCTAATATTAAACTATAAAATATCGATGAAAGCTTGTTTACTTTGACAACTGACTTGAAAACTATTCCAACCTACTCTTGACCTACTCTGTCGAGGACTAAGACATGTGTATTTTGCTGGTTTATGAGAACTAAGAGAGAGGAATTTTTTCTTGGATAAAACTATGAAACAGCGATAAAGTGTGTACACATTCACAGCTAATTTTATGACCATCCGTCTAGGAAAATTTGTACTTTCATCCTAAAAATTGCATTTCTGTTCAATTAAGGATTGAAATATACTATGTATACGATTAGTTTTTTGAGTACTTGGAGGGTATAACATTTTCTTATTAGAAACAAAACAAACAAAATTTTCTTAGATGAAACAAAACAGCAAAAAAGGTATACCCAAAGGAAGGTGAAAACGGAAGATAAAAAGTAGAATGAGTTATGCAATATAACGAGTTTTATAGACTCGAATTGTGTTGCAGGATTGTATTTTACGGTTTTCTAGACAAGGAATGTTTTATAAAAAAGCTTCTGAATCCGGTTCAGTTCCAATAAATTGGTCAAATTTTGATAATTTTAGAGCGCAATAGATCTAAGGTTGTGGTCATTCCTCGTCTATCAATAATTTTGGAAAGCAATTCTCACCAAGCTTATAAATGTTTATGAAAGCGCTTCTAGCGTTTAAGATCTGTCGTTATCAATGTGTTTTTGACTAGATCACATTATTTTTGGTCCATGTCTAAAGCAAATTGTTTACACCGTCGATCAAAGCACATTTTTTATAATTCTGTGTAAAGGTTTATGTATATATAACTGTGTACTTTCTATGAAAATTTACCTGCAAACATACTAATGATTTAATTTTTTTCTCCCATCCGTCTGTTATCTCTTCCAGATACCCATGATCATCATACATGAAAAAACGTGTCAATTTCCTTCTCGTGATAGGTAAAATATATGTAAATTACAGAAATATGCAAGAGAAACAAAAGCAAAAWATTATTGAAGCTAGTCATTACTACGTTATTGTACAAATTCTAATCGCAATTAGTAAAGTGTAAAGTTAAAAGTAAGTCTAGTAGTAAGTAGCAATTATATGTGTGTATGTAATTGATATTGGTGTAGCGATAAATTTAAGTACCTTAACTTTCAAAATGTGTGAGTTAAAACTAACTAAAAGATGCGAATGTAAGTTATTGAAGTGAAAGCAAAGCAGAAAAAAGGACAACAAAAAAAGCAAAAAACAGAAAAAGAAAAA